TGTGCGATTTAAATACTATTCGTGGCAGATTGCAAAGGGAGGGAAATATGACCAGCTGATTGTCAGCCAGTGCTTGGTTCACCTCCACATATTTCTTGCTGCAGCAGTCCATGGTACTGGAAACCCCAGGGGCAGAGGTTGAGAGTAGGAGGTTGCCCACCCCGCATCAATAAAAACTAAGTATATTTAAATTCTTTGAAGTAAAAACTAATTAAACCACGCCAAACTAAAACTAAACTAGATTTCAAATAAAATAAAAAGTAATATAAAACTAAATTATAAATAACACTGACACAAAAACATACACAGCGATATGGCATTGCAGTACAATTGTATTTAATTTTATATTTGTAATCATTTGAGAGTCTTTATAATCCTGTATCGAGGAATCATAAAAACGCTGGTATTTCTGGACTTTCTCAGTCAACCTATCTTCAAATCCACTAGCCATTTTTGTTATAATTTTGATCAAACAAGGTAAAAACTAAAAAGGTGTTTATATACAATTGTCTTGATTTTCCAGTGGTGTGCAACCTTTCACGCAGCTCCCTAAGCAATGTCCAAGGCTGGCCCCTATGACAAAAAAATTACGTCTGCATGAAGTTTTAACCAGCCTTTAGGATTAGTATGCAATTTAAATGCATTTTGATAGGCTTGGGCAATACTCTGGTATTTTGGGTTTACTAGTACAATACTAGAACTTCAGTGAACTTGGGGTACCTCACCCCCAGTCAGCTAATTTTATAGCCAGGATTTCAAAATACAGCGATATCCCCAAAATATATTAGAAAATACTGGAATAGCTTTGTACAAAGTACTGTACTTCCAGTCATTATTCTGTTGTGGAGTAAAATAACTCTGCACGAAGCTACATTTTCTGTCCATTGGTTTAGTCTCACACTCTAAATCAACTACACCTTTCTTCTCCTAATGGGAGAAGTGGTAGTTCTCAGCCCAGAGTGGAATGTGCAAGCAAAAGGAGAAGTAGTTCCTGTCTTAGCACTGACATTTATGTCCTGGTGTTAGTTCATGTCTTGGTCCCAGTAATAATGATGTAAATGTATTTAATGTACAGTAGTACCTTGGAAAACAAACGTAATTCATTCCAATTTGGTTGAAGTCCAAGTTGAATTTCCCTGTAAGAAATAATGTAAATGAACTTAATCCGTTCCAGACTCCCAAATCAGAATCAGAATCAGAATCAGAATCAGAAAAACTTTATTGATCCCGGAGGAAATTGCTCATGTTACTACTAAACGGTCAAGACAAGAACAGAAAAAATGTAAAAAATAAATATCAGATATAAGTATAAGAAACTGACTCTGCGCTATATACACCATGATATATACATAAGAGAAACAGAAATACGATATATATAAATAGAATAAATACTGTTAAGTGTAGTAAGTTGCCTATTTAAACTTGTACACCTACAGTAACTAATGATAAAAAGCATTGAAAATGAATATAACACTAATTCACACATGAAAAAGCACACATTCAAAAGTGATAGACATGAAATAAACGTCAATCCCATACTCCGAAGTGAGAGCAGACACATGTGCACCACCTTAAAGTCTCGGTAT